CTGTTTGTTTTGTTTTTCTTTTCATATTAAGTAAAAAAGTCATTTGATTATTTGCTTTTTTATTTGTTTGTTTATTTGTTTCTTTGTTTGTTTGTTTGTTTTTAGGCAACCTTTTAAAAGGTGGCTTAATATGGTCAAAGGTTTTCTCTTGCTAGTTTTTCCAACATGTGCACAACCCCTACATTGGTTAAACAGCATGGTGTCTCCAAGCAGTCTCCCATCCAAGTACTAAGCAGACCTAACACTGAGATCAGACAAGATCTGACATGTTCAGGGTGGTATGGCTGCTGTCTTTATAGAATGTAACACAAACATGATGCAGGTATACATAATCCAAATAGCTATTAATAATAATATATAAATTAGATATTAGGCTCACTAAATTGTTGCCACCTAGAGCAGGTGGTGAAGTTATTTGCTTAGGTTGGTGTTTATTTAAATGCCAGTGAGCCTGCCTGAACGTGAATTAATTCAAATAGAAGATACAAAAATCCCTCTGAAATGAAACACAACTTACAGTAGCCCATATTTCTATTAGATGTAAACAGAAAACATTTATTGGACAAGAAAATGTTTCTCAATATTGCCACCTTAATATGCTTTGCTATTAGGGCATATAGTTCACAGTTAATAGACAAAAAAAAAGATTTAATATCACTTAAAACCCAAGACAAATAGGATTTACTCGAGCTGTTTAGCATTTTTGATTCAGATAGGAATCAAATGTTGAACTAAAAGTTTACTTTAAGGTACTCATGTGTATAATTAATCTAAATTATTAACCCAAAACTCTAATAGGTCTTTGTTGTGCAATCGCGATTTGCTGTTAGTGTTTACACTAAGGCAAAAGGATTTCTTATCTCGCTGAAGCCACTGAGGCATCAACAGGACCACACTACAGCTGCAAAGCTAATTAATGTGATTTATGCTTGTTTGGTTGCTCGCTAGCTTGCACATTTTTGAGGAGAGCAACATCATCTGCAAGTCATTGTCTTTGGTAAATAAGAAAAATTAGACTTTTCAGTAAGCTGAACTCTGCCGTACTCCTTTACTTGGTGGTCTAAAAAGCACACAAAGCTTGTTTATTCTGTCTGACATGCATGCATGCTCTGTTTCAGCCGGTGTTTTATGCATTTTCAAAACTCAAGTTACACTTCAAACCTGAAATAAGAAGTTTCATAACTTGTGATATTCCACTTTGACATGGATGAAGTGATTGCACATCACTTGTGTTCTGTGACAGTTAAAATCATGTTCTTCTACAAAGGTGGATTACTATTAATTCTTTTGAGTCCTGAAAGCTGAACAGGGAATTTCAGATATTTATAGTGTCGCAGCTGTTGCTGAATCGCGGCAGCAGATCCTGCAGCTCTCCTGTGTGTTCGTATCAGCAGAAGCCATGAATTTCAGGAAAACGCCTGATGTTTGTATTGCTTCATTCAGTTTGTACTTCCACTGTTTTGCGCTGTCTGCCCCTCGGCCACAATGCGCGGTGGGAGAGGTGGGACTATTTAAGGCGACCACACTGCCGTTTTGGCTCGAGGGTCCACATGTGCACCGGAGGTCCTCATTTTGATTCTAAACCGCCTTGACACCAAAACAAACAAACTCTCCTCACTGCACCAAACAGGCTTGAAAAATTATGGGCACAGGGAGGGATATGCAATTACAACAACTAATTTGCGGTCACCAAACTAGCTCCAGTCCCAGTGCCCCCCAGCCACCCTCCATTTTAAATAGGGAGACGCTTAGTGTGTGTTGGTGTGTTAAGTGTGTGTGGATTTTTGGCTGGTGTTTGAGAAGAGGCTCTGGGAAAAGTTCCCCCCTCACAGCTGTAGCAAGGTCAGGCAGCACCAGGGCGATTAGCGTTGCTCATCACGTACAATTAGGGTTAGCGCTCTGCAAGGAGGCATCTGTTGTTAATTGAAGCAGAATAGATATTGAGGAGGTCCACGTTTTCCTCGTACAGGAAAAAAAGAGAGAAAAAAAACAAGCTCAACTGGAAGTAAATAGATTTTGGCTAGTGTGAAATTAGAACTGTGAGCCACCTGCACATCGTCCAAAACGATTCTCTCAATCAAAGGCTTTGTGTGGAACTGCTGAGAATCTGTTGGGTATCGCACCAACAACAATTAGTAAAGCGATTTTATAACGAGTGAGGAATTGGTGGAAAAGTGTTGCAAAAAAACACAAATCCACATGCAGGCGTGCAGTAACGTGGACAAAAGAGACCTGAGTTCTGAAGGAAAGAAGGGGGATGGGACGTAAAGACAAGAGACTGAGCACGTCAGAGCAGAGCCAAAAGGATGCCTGTGATAACAATCTGATGCGACTGAGCTGTGCGCCCACTGGCCAGCTGACATCAGCCAGCGCTTCACTGACCAAAGCTCCCGGCCCCTTCATGCCAAGGCCAGATGCAAACAAAAACAACCAGGGTGAGCATACACAGACTTACATCCAAACAGATTTTGTGCTCAAGACACCACTGCAAATCCCAAAGTGCAAAATGAAAAGCAGGATTGAATTTGTCTACAACTGTACGAATTTCACCGAGTAAATATGGCTTTTAAGTACAAATATTGCAATTCAGACTCTGTTACTGTTGTGAATACATAAGCTTTGTGAATGCTGAGGCGTCTTTTTTAAAAGCAATCCTTTTCATAATTTCTTCACAGTATGAACTCTTCATGTCGTTTCAGCTGCCCTGAGGTCAGAGAAGAGGACGAAGCAAAAGACAGAAGTGGCATTTAGCTGGACTGATGGCACAAAGTCGGCTCTACGGGAAGGAACATTATTTTTCTCAGCAGTCAGCTTGTGACTGTTAGAGGCTGTGACAGCAGAAAAATGTGAGTAGGAGTGTTTTGATATTACACCTGAGTACTAAAGCGTGATGATTTTTATTTTTATTTTTTTCCTAAGTGTTTGGGCTCCCTCCCATGCCCAAAACACATCTCACACACAAATTACACAATCATACAAGCTGAGGTGTCCTTATGGAGTGACAGAGCTCATCAGGGTTTTAGTTTTTGACCTTCGTTGTTGGTTAGACAAATGAAGGAATGTTTGAGTTTGGAGTTTGGCTCGTCTAGCAGAGGTGCTTTCTGTTTCACAGGGCCATCCGAACGTCCATCAACCTTTGTTTCTCTTTTTTCTGTAAGTGCAGGTCTTAACTGTTTGTCTGTAAGTCACCTCATCAGACTGAGAATGAGCATTTTAATGAGCACTTTAAATGCCAATTTGTGTGCGACGTCTTAATGCTAAACACTTTTTGGTACAAATAAACAAACTTTTAAAGGTCATTCATGAATTCAGAGCGAGTGTGGGAAAGAATTGTTTGGTTCTGCTGTGACAGTCAGCGTCATCTACTGCAAAATAAAAAAACAGATTGACCTGTTTTTCACACAGTGTCCTCATTGCAAACATTAATATTACATGCTAATAACAGATAAAAGGTGACTAATATTCGTGGTGTCCCAATACCTGTGAGGATGTGTGTTTCTGTTGTTCTGTGTTTTCTCTGTGTCTTCAACTTTCAGTTCTCCTGAGCTTGTTTTCCTGCCTATTCTCAGTTAATCGTCCTCACCTGTTCAGTAATCTCCAATCAGTCCTCCTCCCAGGTGTTGTTCATTTCCTCATTCCCTCCAATTGTATTTAATCCTGGTTCAGTTCTCACATACTTACTGGTTCATTGTTTGATGTCTCATCATCTGTTTGGTTTTCCTCGTCGTTCTCTCCCTGTTGTCCTTAGTGTTTTGTTTGTTGCTGCCACGTCAGCTTTTTGTTTTATTTTTATAAATAAATATTCTTTTTTTGAAAACTCTTTATTGTCGATCCGGATTTGGGTTCATTCTCCTAACGTAACTCAACAATACCAGCATTTTTATTAGTACTAGTACAAAATGCCCCAATACCAGTACCAGTATCAATGCCTTCTGGAATTGATAGTCCATTCAATGTGTTACAGTTTATATTTCAAGTAAAAAGTCTGTCAGTTCCATGCAAGAGTTGTACAACTTGATAAAAAAATTGTGTTTGTTATTTTTATTAATTTTCAAATTTTGCAACAGTACACTGTATATTCTGCTATATATTAAGAGAGGCTGTCGGCCTATAGGAAGTAGAGCCATTTTATTCTAAACAAAATAAATGTGTTTTTTAGGTGTATTGTATCGATTCTTACTCATTAAATACTAGATAACGATACTCAGTGTCAGCAAGTACCCTAAGTGAAGTACTCATACTCAATTTGAGAGCTAATATAGATCATTAAATATTTTGCTAACAGAATAAACAGTGTGCACTAAAAGTCTTGTAATATTGTATTATTATCCAGAACTATAAATCGTAAAATGTAATTATTTATACATTCTCTGATCAGTTTTGTTTGGTTTTAGTCTTTTAAAAGTTATTCCTTATTAGTGTTCTTCATTGTTGCTATTTTCTATCCAAAGCCAAACATTTTACAAGTTAATTAATCAGATTTAATAATGACAAGGAATACACTGACACCTGGGTAAGATGTTGAATTAATTTCTAGTCATTTTTGGAACATGCAAAAAATAAATATTAATAATAATAAAAATTTCTGCATCACAGCAGCGAGCCTGCACATCAGAAATGGATTTTATTTCTGGTTTGTTAATCAGCAAGAATCATCCAAGTCTGCCCGGTCTGCCTACAGTTGCTCTTAAATCCAGCTTTGTAATAACCCTCTGTAATTAGGACTGAGACACACTAACAAAAGAGACTACCATCATCATCACTCAGACACCTCATCATCATCACCATTCTCATTATCAAGCCTAAGATCAAATTCCTGGCTGCGGGATAGTGGGACTTCAGTGCACCTGATGTATTGTGTGTCATTAGATTGTTGTTATTACTGTGCCATGGGGAGTCAAACAGGATGGAGATTCACTCCTGTAATATTCTGTTCAGCCTACCAGGGAGGACCCACTTGACATTCTCTACCAAATGACAACAATATATTAAAGCAAAGGGCTGACACAATAATTTGTTTACGCTCCCATCTTTTTCTTCCTTTTTTTTCCTCCCTCTCTCATCAGCGACATGCAAACAGAACCCAACCAGCTGCGTTACTGCAACACTGAAGTCCTTCTCTGCAAAGTCCAAATGTTTGCATTCTTGTCTGCTGTGAACCACGTAGCTCAGGCGATCAATCTCCACTAAGATAGAATCAACTTGTAGGCTGTTTAATTTGTCTTAATTAACACCGTAGGATCCATTACCCAAGTGGAAGGAAATGAAAGCCCTGAGTGACGTGTGCGAGCGGCGGCGGGGCTCGTCCGGGCCGACTCTGCCAGCCTCCAAACACCTTGCTTCCCGCTCGGCGCTTCAGGGCAGCTACTTGCTAAAAAGGCAGCTGCCCGATGATCGATGACTTCATCTAGTCTGCCTGATTCCTCCACTTGTGCTGAGAGAACACTTAATGTAACGGGCCCACAGAGAAACGCCTTGATTAAATTGTGAGAGTGCAGAGCCACGGGGAGCCACTTACCGGGAGAAGCTTTCTGAGCAGGAGTCTTTACCCGACCATACATACACTCACTGACGTATATGTGATGCCACAAACACACAGCATCATTCTCAGCTCATTGTGCAGCTCAGGAAGCATGTACGCACACACACGGACTACTCTACTCTGTTGCCAGCAGGGCCAGATCATTCAGCACAGCTGGTGTATCCCAATGTTGACTCTCCAGTTGGGGAGGATTGCTTCAGGGATTTACCACATCACTGTAGGCAGTGCAGAGATTGATTCAGTACGAGTCCATCAAGCTTTATCCCTCCCCAAGGTGCATGCACAAATCTCTCCAATAAATAACCTATTCTTAATTCTGATTTCTTAATGCAACTCCTGCAGAGAAGACTAATCAGTTTCACGAGTACTTTAAACAGAAGCTCCAACTAGTCTGAGGACCCGATTGCATTATTTCCCATCCTGAAGACTCAACACCTCGCAGGTCTGGTACGTACATCCTCGCGTTTTCACCCGCAGCCTCCCCTCTCGTTCTGTCACGTGCACGCGTTACAACTCGTGGCACTTCTTTTCAAGCCCTCCCAACATCTGCTTGTTCTTCGTCTGATTAAAAAAATCCTCCGCGTTTCATTATCGCTGATTTGCATAGTAATAGCGTGCATATTAAGAAGCTACTTCAGAGGGTGGGCGGTCTAATGAATGCCGCAGTCTCCTCTGTTTTAACTCAATTTTTCCTCATCCATATTCAGCCGTGTTGCCCCCTCCTGGTTCCCTCACGACCCCCCCCCCCTCCTGCCCTCAGGGATGGCAATTCTGTTTCCGCTGAAACGCTTCCTCCAGCCTCTCCCCAAATCCCAGAACCCTCTCCATTAATCCAATTAATTAGAGCCATTGATATGCAGCCCGCTTAGACCAAGCAGCTGTTTGCCTGCCAATTGCTTTGCTATGAGGAAAGGGGGTGGGGGGGGTGGAGGTGTGTGGGGGTGGGGGTGTCAGACTATGAAGTACCACAATCCAGTGCAAATACAGCAAAACTTTATATAGTGTGACAAATAAGTCACCTCTTACAACCTTCCTACTAAGACACTCCTTAAGGTCCCAAAGAAGTACCTCATCGTTACCTCAGCTGCTGATAATCACAACTCATAAAACTTGTTTAATCGTAACTCTGAAGGGTAAAGACCAATTAGTTTTTTCCCCTTTTTTTCACACGATCATTAGACTGTTTACATATCTGGCATGTTGCCACTGTTTTGACTTGCAGAGTCTGGTTGGAAAACTGGCTTGTTTAAGGAAAGGAAGGTGGTAAGTAACAATGCAGTCCATTTGGTTTCATTCACGCTTGTACAGTTTTATTACCCATGAGCTTTACCTCTTTCGGCGGAGAAACACAAAATGAGGACAAAAAGCAGAGGAGAAACGAAAACTCACGTCTTTTTATTCAATCAGGCTCCATATAAATACAAATGTATATGTTCCTCCAAGGTTTGGCAAAAGGAAGCTAAATGTACATCAGTGGATGATAATTCTCTCAATAAAGGATCGAAAATAGAAAAACCGAAGAGAGATGTCTCTCGGCGCCCAGAGTAAGAGGTGTGCCTCCGAATTACCATACAGAAATGAATAGCAGCGACAGTGTCTAATGTTTTGTGACACAGCACGAATGTGCTCCCTCCCGGTCCAATCCAAAGCTGAAGCTGCTCATCGGAGATATTAGATTAAGAAGTGCTGGAATAGAAGGGTAATTCACTTTTCTGCTTCACTGGCTATCATTGCCAAGCTAAAGAACGCTGGTGGTAAACTATTTCTGTTGTCGCCACCAGCCTGCACCCCCTCCCCCCTTAGCTTTTCTTTTTCTTTTCCCTCCAATTTCCTCCTCCACAAAAACAAAAATTGCATGTTTTATACAGTCACCCACATATTGTTTTGTTCTCTGAGCTGTTATCAATATAAAATTCACTCTTAACATAAGCAAAATGTATACTTGTATAAATTATTAATTTGCTGCATTTTTAAGCAAAAGTTTCTAAATTATTTTATCATAAAATGTTGGGATAAGATTGTACTTAATTTGAAATAATGTGCAATTTCAGGATTCATTTCTGTGATTTCTAACCTTTTCATGAGATTAACTTTGCTTTGATGGGTAAAGTAATCAACAATATTATAAATAAAAGAAAGATTAGAAACTTTTGTGCAATGACATTTTATTATTTTATTACATCTGTGTAGATATTTAGCACAAGCATAAGGACTTTTGTGTTTGCTAGATTATGTATTTGTTGTAACAATGTTTCTTGGCAATAAATCTTGTGATTGGCAGCACCTGGGGTGACATAATCTGAAAAGAAGTCTCAATGGCAACAGCAAGATAAAGTGTTTGACAATGACAAGGACAATTTGGCAAATTTCCATGTGCGCAGCCCACATACTCCACTGCTCCTCCCGTAAATGCATGTTCCTTACAAATGTGGCTCAGTTTAAAAGGAATTTAACAGGTTTTCCAACAGTCTAAGATTTATTGCCAAGAAGCATTGGTAGAACAAAATTAATCTATCAAACACATATTTCCTTGTTGTGATAGCTTTATTGTTCTTCAGCCTGACAGGGTTTATATGATGTATTTGTCTCTGTGCACAAAATTCACCAATTGTCAAATAAGAATATATATATTTTTGTTCCTGTGGCTCTAAAAAGTGATAGAAGATGTAGAGTATTTTTGTTGAAATCTACTTAATTTCTTCCCCCTCTCACTTTTAAAAAACTGCTTTGTCTTCAGTTTTGACTGCATATGTGTGCGTGATAAACATTGTTCTGATTACACTTTTTTTGCATTCACACCAGTACAGAACATTGCAGCTGAATCTCCTTCACTCTTAACAGGTGTCACCAGCTCCAGTCCAAGCAACAGCTTTCTATAAGAAGTCGTTTCTAATCTGAGCTGCTTAGGTGCAGATTGAAGCAGCACAGCAGGAGTATAATCAGTGTGGGCTGGAGTGATGGACATCATTTTCCTGGACTGAACTGAACTGAGTGGACTGGCAAAATGTGAGGGGGAAAAGTTTTGCATTTGTTTTGCTCTATGTAGTTGTAGTTTAATTAATTAATTAATTAATTAATTGTCTTTTATTTCCTGGAAAAGTGAGATGTAACATTTAAACTGTTGTGTTGTTGCATCAACGCAGCTTTGTTCTTCCTTTAAAATGACATTGAAACATTTTTTCAGTACTTAATTTCTGGTTAATGAGCAACTTATTCAGCTTTGGTACTTTCTTTTTGATTTGTAGTTGCCTGTGACATTCAGATTAAATTATTTAAAACTTTGTATTTTGGGCGAGTTATGCAGAATTCCAACCTTCAACTCATTTTAGAGTGTTACTCATGACTGCAGGGGGAACGAAACAACTAACTGATGTCTGCATCCAGGAGGTGATGATGATTACCCATGGGGCCGAATAAAATGTTAACGAGGGCCAGATTTGGCCCACAGGCCTTGAATTTGACACGTGATCTAGACAACATGTAGGTTTGAAATCCTTCATTGCTCAAATGTTTGATTTTTCTGATCATTTAGGACCAGCAGACTTGTGTAAACCAGCGCAAAGGTCCTGATTAAATTAATTCGGTATAAATGCTGTTCATACTGGTCCAACATCTTTATGGCCGACAGGCTGCAGGTCCCTGCACAGAAACACAATCAGTATTATTTTTATCACATATGGTTTCTGTTGAACAAAACAAGTCTGATAGATGAACATGTCTTGCTTAAAATAGGTAAAAATGCATACATGAGTGATTAGATTGAAATATGTCTCACCTAGTCTGCATGGTTGCTCTGAGCTGAACATGTGGGGAGGGGTGAATACTGCTGTGTGACAAGAAAATAAAGCAAGAAAAACAAAACAAAAAAATAAAATAAAATAAAATAAATCCACACAGGATGACATCATTGTTTTAACTGCATCCAAATCTAGAGTATAACATGATGTCCTCATCAACAGCTTCTTGGACTGCTGATAAAACCAACATTTCATTAGCAATACATCTAAAATAAATAAAAGTACAGCTTCATTTAGCTGCAGATTCATAAAACGCAGTTAATCTAAAACATTTAACCAGAGTCAAAAGTTTAACAAGTTACTTTTTTTTTTCTCTTCTGAACACTTGTGCGCAAAGCTCCTCCCATAGGCACGCCAGAGAAAGTATTTGCTGGATTGTGTAGCATTCAGCCAGATGTGTGAACAGCATGTTCCCCCCACAAAACTTCAACTTTTCCTTTCCAGTTCGTGGTTGTGAAGCAGAAGTGGAACCTAAGCCAAATCAAGACCAGCTTTGAAACAGGATGCATAATGCAGTGGAGGTGAAATCAGATGAGAGGGAGAGGGCGATTTGTTTATCCTCAATGAAGTGTTGACGTTGGAGGTCTTTGATTTAGGAATATACAAATCAGTCTGTTTAAGAAACGGTGGTGCCTCATTTTAGAGACGGGCAACGAAAACACGAGCTCGAACATGAACATGCCGCCGAACCGGGGGGGTGAACACAGGCTTGATTTGTTTCAGCCACAAATTCGCTCCCTTCCCTTCCCCACGTTCTAAAAGGGTCTTTCCTCTTTGTGAAACGTGAACAAATGAATCGCAGATTGATTACAGCACAATTAAAATAATTGTCATCTAGAATAATGTGACCAGCGCTGAATATCAGACGTAAATGATGATTAACATCCCCTTCATTTATTAGCATATTGATTTGAGCATACAACAGGGTGAATACATTAAAGCAGAAATTCCTCACTTTTTTGATCTTTTAGCTTCGTTTTGCTTAAATCTCCTCCTAAACGCCAAGATGCAGGGCCCGAATCTGGACTGATTCAGAAGCACTCAGGACTCGCTGCAAAGTGATGAAGTGATGGTGGAGAGATAGATCGGAGGTGTCTATTTATCTAGGTGAGGAAGTGCCTCTTCGCTGCATCCCCCCACCCTCCACCCCAACCTCCCCCCACTCCCACGCTTTCCCCATGTCTTCTGAGGCAGAGAGCTGTGACTGAAACACATCGTTGCACCTCACTCGGGATGAGCTCCAAATAAATGGGGGTATGAGGGGTGGTAGTTGTGCAGGGGGAGGGGGTGGGCTCTACAGAACGAGCGCTGGAGTAGGAAAGGGCGGCGAAAGGAGGCAGAAGAGGAGAGCTTCTTAAAATGGCTTGTCAAAATAATGAAAACAAATGGCGCCGGAGTCTCCAGAGATGGAGAGGAGAACTTCATTTGCGAATCGTCTTCGCCGGGGGTTTCAGCTGTGCCACTCTACTGCTGCAAGTCCTGGGTGCTGGGGTGGTGGGGGTGCTCCTGCACACCCCCCACACCCTCCACACAGCCGAGAGAAACTGAGCAGAAGAAAAATGAGAGCACTCAGTGTAATAATTGTTCAGGGTCAATTATTCCCACGGTGGAGCAAATCAGGCTGATATGTGTTAGCTCACAAGCGGGCGGAGAGCTGCTGTAGTGCTGCGTGGAGATGATACGCTGTGATGCCTGGGCAAAAGGAAACATTGTGGACCGATCGCCCTCTGACAGCTTACTTGTGAATGCATGATGCAAATTCCGGGTTTTGCTTAAAAGGAAAAAAAAGTGATAAAAATGCGTACATATTTCCCACATAAATTCAGCCCCAGAAACGAATCGCTACTCGATGCCCACTTTCGTACCTTTAGCCGTTCTCCTCCTCTTTCATCCTCCTTTTCTCTTTGGCAGCTAACATCTTCCTCTGCTTATCATGGTTTCCCCCTCTTCATCCTCCCGCTCTCCCCAGCTTTGACTTCATCTTTCAAGTGCAGCGGCAGCATCTTCCCTCCCCATCCCCATTCTTTCCACAACGCCGTCCACCGTCTGCATTCCTGTCACGTGCCAACCAAAGGTTATATGGCCCACTTTCTTATCAGCTGCATTGTGGGATATCTCTGCTCTCAGGCCTGTCTTTTGGAGAGCTATCTGTACCCCCTCCTCTCTCTGTTGACTGCTGGGAGGACAACCTTTGTCGACCTTGTTTTTTTTCCTATAACATAGCAAAAATAAAAAGAGGGAGAGAGTGTGTGTGATGTAAAGAGTGGGAGTGGGAAAAAAAAGGAGAAAAAAAATCTGCCAGCGTCTTTTGAAAGGTGTGATGAGATTGGTCTAGAGTTAGCCTTGTAAGAAAAGCGCCGTTGGCCCCCCTCTCCTTTTCCCTCTCCAAGTACAGTAGACATGGAATCAATATTGCCCACCCAGCCCCCCGCTCCTGAAGCTTTCTGCCCCTGCGCGTGCCGTCCACCTGTCTGCCCTGTATGGGAGGTTTATGCGCACTGCTGGCAAGGAGGGTGGCGGGACACGCGTGGCTGTTTGACAGCATCGTCATGTACAAACTCATTTTGGTTCCAGTCAGACTTTTGCTCTAATAGGCGCGCACACTCAAGGTCTTTGCGGTCATGGTGTAACAGAGCAGCAGTTTGATGCCTCTCTGCAGTTCTGTGAACTCCCACAAAAGAGAAATGTTTGCAGCCTCTCATCCTGCAAGATACAGTTTAGGAAGTTTATTGTCAGAGAGGGGGAAAAAAAGCACAAAGGCAATTTAAACCCTGAAACGAATGGCTTTTTTTTTTACACCCATGCACACGTGCTCTAGTCTACGGTTTTGCTTCCAGGCTTATGTTCTCCGAGTTGCTGTTGTCAGACTCTTACGAGTCAACTCCTATATGATCTGATTTATCACTTATTATCTCTTCCTTCAGGCATATCTTCATTTTCAGAGTCTGTCATAAAAAATCCTACAAAACAGTACAACAAAATCAAAGAAAGTGCAGCTCAGCAGTGAACCTGACACACTCATCATCATCATGTTGTTTTGCGAGGAGGGCAATATAAACTTCTTCATGCTTTTGTGTGTTAATTTGTGGTTTCAGTGTCATAAAATGAGGTCAAACAGGAAACCCGTGTAGCTTTATGTGCTACTATCCACTATCTGCTTACTCTTGTAACACCTGGGCTTTGATTTTTTACGCACTCCTGTTTTCTACCCCGCTATAAGAGAGGAGAAGGACCTAATAATTATGAACCATATCATTTTCGTTAGACAAGTAATATGTTTTGACTAGAAATAGGCGCTAATGTGAGAGCAGTGTGGTTTAGTAAGAAAGTTTGAACCAGTTTATGTCACTGTCTCAACATGACTTTGTAGTAATAAAATATTAAACAGTGCCACACATCACAAAGCTTTGTCCACTTTTTCTTTGAAGTGCATGAACAGAATAAAAGAAGTCATTGTTTGAATATTTCAGACAATAAAGGACAGATGTTTTAAGGCTTTTTACAAAAAAAAAAGCTTAAATAACAAATGTTGTTCTTTTTAAATAAATTTAATTGATAAAATATTTTATTTATTCTTTTCATGTATCAGATTCTGAAATCTGCTCCCAGACTTTGGTAGGAAATTGGTCAAAATTTGCATTTTTTGCTGAAATCTAGTGAATGAATGATTTTGCTAAAATTTGTTGAATAATGAATTGATTATTAAAATTTTGATAAAATGTGCAAAGCAGAAGCATAAATCAGTAAAATTGTAGCTAAATGCTGTAATAAAACAAAATCTGTTGCTAAAAGCAAAAAAACATGTGAGAGAGCTATAATTAGCACAACCAGATAAAACTAGCTAAACTGTAGCTCAAAGCTTATATAAGGAGAAAATGCAGTTAAAAGAAAAACAAAAAGTAAAAAAAATGAAAGCAAGTTTGTCAAAGTAGAAATCTTAATTCACAAATGCAAAGTCTGGTTTATAAGTACAAAATATATGTGACCCAAATGTCTGCCCATAGAGACCTCACTGTATTTTTTATCGAGAATTAAAAAAAATAAATGCAAAATAATTTAAAAAGTATAAAATTTACAAATAGCTAGTAAAATTCACAGCACAAAATTCCTGGTCAAATGAAATGTTTTGATGTATAATTAGTTAAAATATGCAATGGAATTTTGAATTGAACATTCAGAAAAAATAGAAACAATGAAATAATAAAGTAAATGCAGAATCAGCATGTTTGTTAAATCGTCATAAACTGCTATGTCTTATAAAAATTTCAACAACATGTGTTATTTTGTTGTGTATACTTTCAAAATATGATAACAAGATATCATTATCCCTCAAAAAACATTAATAAAAAAAAGTTCAGTCATTCTTGTTGCATAAAGCCAACCTGCTGGCTTTGCCTTCCTGATTCATGTTGACAATCTCGCGCTCACAGAGGTACCAGACTTTTCCCCTCTACTCCATCATCTAATTCTAATGCTGAGAAACATTTCACATGCTGACCTGAATAATTTATCGTTCGCCCATACAATCCATTTGACTCCCATACAATATTTCCTGGGCTTTGATAAAACAATCACATCAGTGCACATTGTGTAACAGAGGAACGGTGACAGCTTAGGTCTGAGTTACAGTAGCACGGAACAAACAGGATTACCCATGGTAGGTCTGCTCAGAGACGGAACCAACATGCAGCCTGCAGGTGACAAATAAAATAAAATCTGATGCGTATTAAATCTATGCCACGTGTTCCTTTACTCAGGTGTTTTGTTGTCAGTATTTAAGGCGTAAAATCTGTCTTGAAAAAAAAACTAGCTGAGTGTTTTCTTCACTTTCTGGTTTTGAATGCCAGGTGATCAAAACACACTAAAAAATTTTACAACACCATGAGATTTAACGTCAGTGTTTTTAACCTTAAATCAGCTGTTAAGATAACTCAATTCAGTTTATTTCTAAAGCACCAAGTCACAACAAACGTCATCTCAGGGCATTGTACAAAAATAAAAATAAAAACAATCAATCTAAGGAAGCCAGTTAAGGCTGAGTCACACTACAAGATTTTAAAACAGTCGACCGATTTTCAAAGACTGATAGAGCCCACACGTGAGGATAAAAAATCATGGACCAGGTTTGGTCCAACAGTGTGTGGTGTACAGCCACATGGCAGGAGACAACACAACACACATGAAAAGATATTTCATTCATGATTCAGATGTCAGATTTTAAATCATGCGAGACTTCCTGAAATCTTGCGAGAATTCAGATGTCCCAGGAAAAATGTCACGTGACCTCCAGAGAGACGTGAGTTCAGAATAAATAAAC